GTTTTTGTCCTTGGCTCAGTTAATATAATGTATTACATTTATTGATTTACGAATGTTGAATCATCCTTGCATTCCTGGGATAAATCTGACTTGGTCAGGGAGTGTGATGTTCTTGATGACCGACCCTTTGTATTCTGTTTGCCAGTAACTTGTTGAGGATTTTTGCATCTATGTTCATTAGGGAGATTGGCCTGTAATTGTCTTTTTGGGTTGGGTCTTTCCCTGTTTTTGGAATCAGGTAACACTTGCTTCCAGGAATGAATTTGGAAGTATTGCTTCCCTTTCAATTTCCTTGATGAATTTAAAGAGTAATGGCGATAGTTCTTCTTTAAATGTCTTGTAGAATTCAGCAGTGGAGCCATCAGGATCTGAGCTTTTCTTTGTTGGTAATTTTTTTTATTATGTTTTCAATTTCACTCATTGTAATTGGGGTGTTTAGAATTTCTATGTCTTCTTCATTAAGCTTTGGCAATTCATATGTATCTAGGAATCTGTCCATTTCTTCTGTGTTTACCATTTTATTAGGGTACAGTTTCTCGAAGTAGGTATTGATGATCCTCTGGATTTCTGCTGGATCTCTTGTGACTCCACCTTTTTCATTCCTAATTGCATGGATTTGAGCCTTTTCTTTCCTTTTTTTGATAAGGCTGGCTAAAGGTTTATGGATTTTATTTATTCTTTTGAAAACCCAACTCTTCGATTCACTGGCTTTTTATATCATTCTCTTAGTCTCCAATTGCATTGATTTCTGCTCTCATCGTTATAATTTCCTCTCTTGTATGACCTTTGGGTATGTTGTGTTCTTCTTTTTCTAGGAGTTTGAGGTTCTGCATTAGGTTATTTATCTGAGTTCTCTCTGTTTTCCTAATATGGGCATACACTGCTATGAATTTCCCGTATAAAACTGCTTTCATTGTGTACCATAGATCCCTGTAGGTTGTACTGGCATTATCATTTACTCATAGAAACTGTCTAATTTCTTCTTTAATTTCCTCTGTGACCCATTGGTTGTTCAGGAGGGTGTTATTCAATTTCCAAGTGTTTGTGGGGGGGTTGCAGTTTCTCATGTTAATGATTTCCAATTTTATTGCACTATGGTCTGATATACAGGGGGAAACTTCAATTCTTTCACATTACTTAGAAATTACCTATGAGCCTGCATGTGGTCTATTTTGGAGAATGACCCGTGTGCAGCCGAAAAGAATGTGTATTTTGATTTTGTGGGGTTGAACACTCTGTAAACATCTATTAAGTCCATTTGTTCAATAGCTTGGTTCAGTTCTAGAATTTCTTTGTTAATTTTTTGTTTAGGTGACCTGTCTATTTGTGATAGTGGGGTATTTAGCTCCCCCACTACAAGTGTATTAGTGCTTATTTGGTTTTTCATGTCCATTAATATTTGTTTTTTATAGTTGGGGGCATTCATATTTGGTGCATATATATTTGTGATTGTCATCTCTTCCTCTTGGGTTGTTCCCTTCACAAGGATGGCAACTAGGCCATCTTTATCTCTCTTAATTAGTTTTTGTTTGAAATCTACTTTGTCTGCAAATAAGATTGCTACCCCTGCTTTTTTCTTGGTTCCTATTCCATGGAGAAGTGTTTTTCTTTCTTTTACTTTCAGTCTATGAATTTGTTTTTGAGTTTGATGTCTTTCTTGTACATGGCATATTGTTGGATTTTGTACCTTAATCCATTCTGCTGTTCTATTTATTTTGATTGGTGAATTGAGGCCATTAACATTGATGGTTATAATTGATAGATAGTGACTCATCCTTGTCATGATGTTTTACTGTTTGGCTCTTTTGTTTCTTATTTTCCCCCCTTTCCTTTTAGTTTCTTTCCTTGCCTGGTGGCTTCCCTCTGTTGGGCCTCATGGAGTTGTGACCTTCATTTTCTCCTTCTAGGATATTGTTTTCAATTGTTGAGACCCCAAAGCAGAGAAAGATCCAACCAAAAAAGAGAACTATAGGCCAATCTCACTAATGAACATAGATGCAAAAATCCTCAATAAGATACTGGCAAACAGAATGCAGAAGATCATCAAGAAGGTCAAACACCCTGACCAAGTGGGATTCATC